CCGAAGGATCCTGGGATGGCTCTCACTTTCGGGGAGCAATTAAAACCCAGAAGCTTGTATCAAAGATGGGGAGAGATTGTTTGCAGACATTTTAAAGGTGGTCTGTCTTTCCTATCCTAGCTGGCAGGTGTGTTTGTCTTGTAAAATATGAGGGTGGCAGTGGTGGCCAATGGAGGGTCAGTCAGCTCCTAGGCTCCTAGGCACCCATTTGAATGTGTAGGTCCTCTTCCAAATATTTCTGCATCTAGAATTTCTCCCACAGAAGGCAGAACCGCTACAAGTTTGGACATGGCAGATAGCCACACAGTGAAGAGAGTAGTCCACCTTTTCTTCCATTCCCTGTCTTGCTTTAATCCTTGGATAGTTGTGTCTTCTCTTTTTCTCCATGTTTTAATAGGTAGCCTGGAGGTTTTGCAGGTAATTTAGAGTGACCAGTGAAGTGGGTCAATCTAGATAGCCAAGAGAATTTAACATCCACCGAAGCACTTCTTTAATAACAGGGGATTTAGTTATTGTCTTAATTCCCATGTGCACGAAATGGAGACTTGTGCAACTGGTCAACTTAATGCTTTAATTCATGTTATAGCTCTGTCTGCAGCAGAGAAGCCAGGAATTTCACTGTGATGGAAAATCTAGTCTTTTCCTAGACCCTGACAGCTCTGTGCTAGAAAATTTACAACAATGGACAATGTGCTTCCTGTTTACAGGGACCTAAATGTCGGTTCCAGGCAGGAGCTGCCTTGCTTACTGGTTAAGGAGAACACTCTTAGGCTCTGCTTTCACTTTAGGATAGGGTTGAAGTTAAAATTGCTCAGATGAAGAAGTGAAAATCCACCCAATTTCTCTCCGTGTTAGCCATTTCTCTTGGCTTTATTCATTGTGGCAGATACACAAAAATGACTAATGGGGATTTCATAAAATCTTAGTCAGATTGTTAATAATCCCTTCTCTCCATCAGCAGCGTGCTTCAAAGTTTTCAAAGCATCTTCACACGCTTTAACCAATTTCAGTTCAATGAAGCAAATATTTCAGCAACACAAAGATTAGAAAGGCAGTGCTGCTTGCCCACATTCAATCAGGGGAAGTCATGAGGACCTTCGTCCAATTCTATATATAAGGTAGCAAGGAAGATGCTTTCAGGAAGGCTACATTGTAGCCTCCCTCCACCTTCCCACCCCCTCCCCAACGCCCCGAGAAACAGAGACACATTCAAACTTGATCAAATTAAGTCAAAGTGAAGCTCAGCTCAGTATAAACATTTAGAGACCTCAGGAAACCAGGAAGGCTGAGATCCAGCGCTACTTTGTCTCAATAGACAACATGATCCCCCTTATCTCTACTTCTCACAGGCTTTCTGCTCTTGTTTTTCTCTTTCTTGATCATTTCCCCATCTTTCTCATTTCATACAAGGCAGCAATCCTCACTTCTCAGTTTGACCATGCACCACTGTGATACTGTGAAAAGTCTGCTTCACAGTAGATAGTGTCAGAATTGAATGGAATCAGAGAACATTCTCCTGGCCTGCTGGAAAACGTGCTGAAGAATTGGTTGCTGGTGCAGAGAAATCCCCACCCACTTGTTGGTGACCAGAGGTGACATGCTCTATGTTGAGTGGTTTTGGCTGTGTGAGAGCAGGAAAAAGACCTTGGTTTTTTCCTATATATGTCTTAGAATCACAATGGCCAACATCCTTGTCTCAGTTCAAATTCCTGGAAGAGGTAACCTGGTTGTCTGAGTGCTTCACTCTTTAAAAACTAACAAATCATGGGTTACTGGCTAGCTGGGTGTTTGGACAGGGCAAGCAACAATTGACACATTTAAGATGGCAGATAAAAAATTACGATCTTTATTTGAGAGGCAAGGAAACTAAATCTTGCCAGGTTAAGTAGCCTGCAAAGGTTCACATGACGTTTATGCAGCTGAGTCACATCCACATTCTCTCCCTGTCAGTTCCTCTCCTGGGAGCTAGAAATATTGAAGTCATTTAAGGAGGAGATGATTATTAGATATATATGTACAACTACAGGTTTTTATATTTATGTTTCATTTTAGCCATTAACACTTTCCTTCCTAATAATTGACAAGAGTACAAATCTTCTAATTAAAGGAAAAATTGCATTGACTTAAAATAAGAGAATAAATTATTTCTTTTTGGTAGTTAATACAACTAAAGCTCTCATTTGTACCCTATCAGTTAATCTATTGACATTAATATCACTTAATCAGAAAGATGGCGGAGGAGAGTACCAATGACAAATACACAGTCAAGATTTTAATTTGGAAACAGAACACTATATCTTTTTACATACTAAATGCACAATACTGACAATTAATTTCATTCTTGCTGTGAGTGCTTTATGTAGCAGCCTCATATTGGATCTAAAAATCTGGCTCTATCATGAACGGGATCCATGGGATAGGATGGTGCCATAGATAACTTGTTTTGCTTCTGGGAAGAGGAAATGATTTACATTCCCTTCACACTATCACCGCCACCACCACCACCAGAAATGAGATGGTTTTGTAGAAACATTACCATATACTTTGTAAAATGATTGGTTGCTGTAAAACATTGTCCAGGGTGGAATGTGCAATTTGCAAAAAGGCCAGGGGAAGACCGTTTCTGGATGTGTGTGTGGTTGATTTTTGTGTTAGTGGACACCCCAGTTTGGTCCACCACATTGAGGCCTGATAGCAATGGCCACAAACACAGCAAGCCACAAACCAAGCCTTGCTCAATCCTGCAATTTAAAGAGATTGCTCATTCAAACTCACCATAGTTAGACAACTACACCGATTCTAGACCAACTTCTTTCCCCTCAACATGTCAGTGTGGTTTTGTTTTTGTTTGTTTGTAACAACTTTTATTACTCACATACCATAAAATTCATCCATTTAAATTGCACAATTCAATGGCTTTTAGTATATTCACAGAGTTATACAACCTTCACCACAATTTTAGAACATTTTCATGAACCACGAAAAGCCCCTGTATCCCTTAGCAGCAACTTTCCAGCTCTCCTAATACGAGGTAATCACTCCTCTACTTTCTGTCTCTAATTATTTGCCTATTCTGGACGTTTCATACAAATGGAATCATAATATGTGGCCTTTGGCACTAGTTTCTTTCACGTAGCATAATGTTTCCAAGACTCATCTGATTCATGTTGTAGCATGAATCAGAACTTCATTTTTTTAAATGACTGAATAATATTCCACTGTACGGACATGAGTTTTATATATCCATTCACCAGCTGATGGACATTTGGGTAATTTCTACTGTTTTGGCTATCCTAAATAATGCTGTTGTGAACATTCATGTACAAGATTTTATACGACCATATGTTTTCAATTTTCAGGAGTGGAATTGCTGGGTCTTGTGGTATCTTGGTCAGCTTGGGTTGATATCACAAAATACCATAAACTGGGTGGCTTATCAACATCAGAAATTTATTTCTCACAATTCTGGAGGCTGGAAGTCAGAAATCACACTGACGTGGTCAGGTAATGGTGAGGGTTCTTTTTCAGGTTGCAAAAGGTCCACTTCTCATTGTATCCTCATATGGTAGAGAGCAGACAGAGACAGAGAGAAAGCAAGCTCTCTTTCCTCTTTTTCTAAGGGCACTAATCCCATTCATGAGGGCTCCACTCTTACAACCTAATTACCTCCTCAAGGCCCCACCTCCTAATGCCATCACATCAGTGTTTAGAATTTCATCAGATGAATTTTGGAGAGCAGACACAAACATTTAGTTCACAGCATTTGGTAACTCTTATGTTATTCTTTTGAGGAGCTTCCAGATTATTTTCCAAAGTGGTTGCACCATTTTATATCCCACCAGCAATTCAGTATCTTTTAATAAGTGGATTTTAGAGGTTCCAGCAGCAGCTCTGTTTATCCCCCGGCCTTTCTACACTCTGGGAAGCTCATAAAATAAACCTTTGTGGGTGCTAAGTAAGATAGGTACCCAGAATCCCTCCACTTACCAAGAGCTTTCAGAAGGAACCTTAAAGAGTTCTTAGTCCAATGTTTTTCAAAGTGTATTCTCAGGAACACTGATTTCATGGAATGTTACTAACAAAAGAACATCTCTTCTTTTTTTTTTTTTAAAAAAAAAAAAAGTAGTTCTTTGCTCAGACGTATTTGGGAATCACTGGGTTAAACCAATTTAAACAGGCTCTTTTCTTCAGGATTTTTCAGAGCTATTAATATGCTAATATTATAATAAATTTCTAAAAGGCAAATCGAGAGTTTCTAAGCAATATTTGACCATAGGATGAAAGTTTTTCCCCATCTGGGAGCAACTTTCAGAAATTATAATCTTGAGAAGACACTGAAATGTTGATCTGGTCCAATCCCTTCCTGTGGCACCTGCCCTCTCTCAGGAGTTCCTAATGACCATAATCTTCTTTGCTACCATTTACCAAGGGTCTGTTATGTGTTAGGTGCTTCACATACGTTAATTTGAATGATCCTTTCCAAAATTACCTCAAAAAAGTTAAGAAAAAAATCCTTTCAAAAAAATGGGAATGATGTTAGTCCCCTCATAGATGACTAAACTGAGGCTCAGAGAAGTTGAGCAACTTTCCTCCAAGGTAGCACAACTAAATGGTAACAGCACCTGGACTTGAATCCAGGTCTGGCTCTCTTCAAAGCCTCCATTTTGACCACTACGCTGTATCCTGGGGACTGCACTTCACATTTTTCTGCTGGATTTGATACCAGCTTAAAGTAAGGAATAGCAGGGGCAAGACAGAGGCCAAACTAGAAATTTAAATATAAAGGTCAGTCAATAATTGAATGATTCTCAAGAGATAGCCTAGGTATTGGCAAGACTGTTACCTCCTTAGACTCATACACAGCTTCTTACACACACACTCTCACACACATATACACACACTCACACACTCACACACACTCACACACACTCACACACACACACTCTCACTTGGACTAATTACTTGTCTTTTCCAAATGACTGTTTAATCCATTAGTGTAGTTTTTTTTTCAACTGGAGCAAAAACTAAGTACTGGGATATTTGGAGAAAGTAGAGACTAGAAAATGCAACCATGTCCAATTCAACTGCAAAATTACTTCCTCACAGAGCAAAATGGCTGGCTCTGACACCCAAATTGTTCAGTGGGACATAATGGGCAGAGTGAAAGAGGCATCAAAGGGCTGTGGCCTCCGAGGACAGTCACGAATTCCTCTGGATTGCAGTTGTCTCATGTGTGTAACCCTTAAAAATCCAAGTCACCTTGTGGCCCAGTATCTGCAAAGAAATACAAATTCAACATTTAAAAAAGTAAAACCAATGTACATATTGTCCGCAGTATCTTAAGAGTGAAGGTGAGAAGGTACATTAAAAAAACATAATAAGGCTGGACGTAGTGGCTCATGCCTGTAATCCCAGCACTTTGAGAGGCAGAGGCAGGAGGATCTCTTGAAGCCAGGAGTTTAAGGCTATAGTGAGCTACGATTGTTCCACTGCACTCCAACCTGGGAGACAGAGCGAGACCTTGTCTCAAAAAATAAAATAAAATAAAATAAAATAATAAATAAATAAACAAATAAAACAGAACAAAACATCTGGAAATGATTTTTTCCATAACTCCTCCTCTTTCTTTCTACCTCTCACATGTACAGGAGGGCCCTCAAAGGTCTTTCCTTCCCTCACTCTAAGGACCCCAAAAGACTCTGTCTAGAACTCATGGCTTAAAGAGGCTCTTTCTTCTTCATCCTTCTCTCTTCCTTGTCTATCCTGTAGTTCCCTGTCTTCCCCAATTTAAATCTTGCTTCCTTGCTGGCCTCTCCATTCCCCCCTACTCACTTTTACCTCCACTGGCACAGTGAAAGCTGAGGCATGTAGGTGATCAGGAGTGTACAGGTGTGTCTGTGTCTGTGAGGGGTCGGGGTGGGTATGGGTAGGAGGTGGTGGGGGTGGACTGTAAGAAGATCACAGATACTATATAATCAGGCTGCTTCTGGTCACTGCTAACATTGTGATGTGTGTGAACACAAATTCAATTCTAAACAAATATCTTGAAAAAGTAATACACACTTAAGGCTCCCATATGACTACCAAAGTGGAGAACTAATAGCATGACCTCCAGCCAATGTTGTAGTGAGTCTCAGCAGAGCCAACTCATCCTGACAGCTGCTCCCATTTCTGGCTTCTTGGCCTCCTTACAAATCTGTGAGTTCTTTTTTTTTTTGTTTTTTTTTGTTTTTTGAGACAGGGTCTCACTCTCATCACCTAGGCTGGAGTACAGTGGCACAGTCACGGCTCACTGTAGCCTTGATTTCCTAAGTTCAGGTGATTCTCCCACCTCAGCCTCCCAAGTAGTTGTGACTACAGGTGCAAGCCACCAAACTCGGCTAATTTTGGTATTGTTTTTTGTAGAGACAGGGTTTCTCCATATTGCCCAAGGCTAGTCTCAAACTCCTGGGTTCAAGCAATCTTCCTGCCTCGACCTTCCAAAGTGCTGGGATTACAGGTGTGAGCCACTGTGCCAAGCCTGTGAATTCTTGTATACGAAGGTCTTGAATCTTATCATATGTATGAAATAATGACGTTGGACTAAACACTCTCTTCCATCTGAGAAGTCAACGATTCCATGAGATCTGTGTTCTCAAAGTGTAAGTTCTTTAGAAGGGGAAATCCATACCCTGAAAGAGCTGAACTATGGAAACCTTGCCTTTTCTGTCTCACCAGCTCTAAATCTTATGCCTTGGGCAGTGTTATATGTAGGGTGAAGAGGTACCACTCAGATCTGTGAGCTCTGCTCTTAGACTTCACCTAACTCTTCCCTTCGGGAAGAAGATAATATCATTTTTAGCTGCCCAACATTGCCCCTGTCTCACCTCTTCTAGAAATAGATCTTGCTCCTTTTGGGCCGGTCACAACCCCCGACTGACTGGTCACAATGGCTGACCAAAGAAGGTGGTGAAATGACCCAAGGCCCATCAGGGTGTATCCTTGGGGATTTTTCCAAATATAAGTTGGGGAGAAAGAGCTCTTTTGCATCTTTGATAGGAAGCTGTAAGTATGTAAGCCTATCACTTGGAGGATCTGGTCTAGGGAAATGAAGACAACAGGCAGGGAGACGCAGAAAGGAAATGGGAGAGCACCCAACTGGTGACAGAGCTCCTGGATCCCAGCTTCTCCAAGCTCAGCTCCACTGTACACTTTCTGCAGTTTGAGTCTGTGAATCAATGAGGCCCCCTTTTTTGCTTAAGTCAATTTATTTCCGTTTGGGTCACTTACACCCAAGAGCCTTGCTACTCAGTGTTGGGATGAGGAGTTGGCAGTTAGTATCTGCAAAGGACTTGAAGATTCCAGGGGCGTGCTATGCCCTATTCTATTTGTTTGCAAAGTGTAATAGGACGCTAACTCTTCATTCTTTTGTCCTGGCCTTTTCTGGATGCTTAAATACAATATCAAATAATCTTGCCATCTTCCATCTCTTCTCTGTCCAGTTTGTGGAAAGCAACCTCTGCCTGCTTATACTGGGAGCAGCCCTTCTAGATGCATTCACTGGCGCTCCCCAATCAGAGAGACCTTTGTCTACAAGTTAAAGGACATTTGCAACTGCCACAAAATGCAAATTCAGGCTACTTCCCTTCACTTTCTGGTAGTATTAATATTTGCATTTCTTAGATTTCCACATTAGCCACAAAATGGTCTACCAGTTTAAAGAAGGTAGAAACTGCAAAATGACTTTTTAAGACCAGGTGATCTGACAGTTCAAAGGCGTTCTTATGCATGCTTGCAATCCTTGAAACATATCCATATAGTATTAATATTGTTTTTAATTATTCGTGCCCAAGGAGGTTTTGTTTTGTTTTGTTTTGTTTTGTTAGTTTGTCTTTAATTAAAACAAGAAGGTGTTAAATTCTCTGCTTTCTGGGGAGAACTGCAGTGCCCGAACACCCACCCTTCCCTTTCTCTTGGACCTCAGTGGTATTAGATGAGGTTTGGGAAAGTTTTGTCAGCACTTTTTTATCACGACACTGGCACAGGAGAGAAAATGAATTCAAGCTCTTCCAGGGTTCCAACGTTAAACTTGGAAGGTTCTCATGGCTATGCTCAGCATTACTGTAGGATATTACTTGGGTGAGTGCACACCCTCCCCGCAAACTGAAGTTCTACTGCATGCCTGCACTCATCTCCTACCACTCTTATTGGGTTGCATTTCAGCCTTACTGGCCTGCTTTCCTTCCTTGAACTTGCTAAACCCATTTCTGATTAGGATCTTTCCACCGTTTCCTTTGCCCAGAATGTTCTTTCTCCCCTGGCTCCTTCATGATACTGAGGTCTTCAGCATAAGCGTCATCTCCTCAAAGAAACTTTCTTGTATCACCCTGTTCCAGGCCTTCATTGTTGCCACACAAAAACAGTGGCTTAAAACATTAATAATTATTTATTTGGCTCTGGAGTCTGAAAAAGTGGGATCTCAGCTTAAGAGCTCTCACTCCGGGTCTTTCATGTGGTTGCTGTCCAATGCGCATCTTGAAGTTTTTTCCACCATATATCTGGGCTGGGAAGGTTCAAACGTCTAGGTGCTGGCACTGCTAGCTGCTCAGGTCTCTCTCTCTCTCTCTCTCTCTCTCTCTGTCTCTCTCTCTCTCTCATTCCTCTGAGTCATCTGTCCACATGGTGGCCTCATGATAGCTGGACTTCTTACATTCAGCTGAAGGCACCTAGAGTGAATGTCCCAAGAAAAATCAGCAGAAGCTGCATGGCCTTTTCAAACTGAGAGCCACTTCCTTTGTGTCCTATTCTTCCAGGTAGGTACAGAGGCCCCTCAGGTGCAAGGGGAAGGGATACAGACTCTACCTACTAATGGAAGAGTATCGAAATACCTGAAGAGTTGCCTTAAGACCACCACTCACTACATACTTTATAGAACAGACTCCCCAGCAGCATATCACTTCACTTTGTTATAATTCTTTTCTTATTTGTTTCTTTTCTCTCTAACCCCCAAAAGAATACAAATTGTGAAAATAGGGGCCTTATGTGTCTTATTCACCACTGTGTCCTGGTGTTTAGTGGAGCAGTGCCTGGTACTTAGTAGACAATAAGTATCTATCAAATATTAATGAATGAAGGATAAATGGCAAGGGCTATTCTGAAGAGGCATCTCACTGAGATTGTTATTGGGGGCTCCATTTTGGATGACGATGGACCCTCCTCACCTTCCTTTTCCTACTTCCTTCTTTCACCTCCCTTCCCTTTCTCCCACAAAATAATTTCTAATCACCAATGTCAGTGGTGACTCCACTCAAACCTGGAGTCCTTAGTATAATTGTGATCCACTGGATTCAGCTTTTACCGCCTTGTTTTTGAGAACAAACCTACCGAAGCATGCCGCTCTCATCATTTGGATGTGTCAAAGATACTTACACAAGCCTGCACCTTGCTTATTTTGCAAATCACAGATTGGCTTGAATCTGTCTTTTGTTTCTTAGGATTTTTTGGTTTGTTTTGCTTTGTTTCTTTTGCTTTCCTTCCAGCCAGATAAGCTGAGATCTGGTCTGTTTCCACTGAGGGGTAGTCATCAGTCTACCCTTCTCAACATTTCCATTCCTGAGATTTAGCTACCGACTTCACAAGCTGTAACATTCTAACTACGTGTCATTGCCACCATTGTCTCTTGTCACAATCCTAATTCTATGTTCCGATAATAAAACTTCATTAGTGTCTGCACCTCCTTTCCCATACCTTTGAAACACTGTCTTCTGCTGAAACGATTAGCAGCGCGCTGCGTCAGATCATTCGGCTGTCTGACAGCCATTGTGAGTGAGCTAAATTGTGAGAAAATGAAAACTTCTGACAATTTCCATTATCATCAAATGGAGATCTTTACTTGTACAAATATTAAAGGTTATTTAAAGATGTAAACGGACTTCATTTCATTAGTGGTATCCATTAGGTAATAATTTAAAACAACTACCCAGCCTCATTCGAATAAATTACCAACTCATTTTCCGCAAGAAAAATGTCATTTCTCCAGGCTGTATTTTTAACTGCTTGCGATGGTAGAAGACGAAAACAAAAAAAAAAAAACCTATGAATATTTCAGAGCAGAAAATGTTCAAGTTCTCATATTGTTTAACATAAACCAGACAAAGGGCTATTGTTCTGAAAACCTGACTGAGAGTTGCCCAACCACAGAAGACAGTGAAAGATCAATGACATCAAAACGGGCCTTAAAAAAAGGAATAGTAGCAATGGTGATTAAATCCTCCTGAATTCCAGTTCTAGAAATTTACTAGAAAAAAATCAGGATGTGTGAAAATACTTATCTACAAGGATGTTCATCCCAGTATTATTTATAATGGCAAAAAAGAAGGTAGGAAATGAAAAAAACATATGTATACAAGACTAAGGGATTGCAGGTGTTCGATAACAGCCTAGTCAACATGGTGAAACCCATCTCTACTAAAAAACAAACAAAAAAATACAAAAATTAGCCAGGTGTGGTGGCGGGCGCCTATAGTCCCAGTTACTAGAGAGGCTGAGGCATGAGAATTGCTTGAAACTGGGAGGTGGAGGTTGCAGTGAGCCGAGATGGTGACACTGCATTCCAGCCTGGGTGACAGAGTGAAACTCCATCTCAAAAAAAAAAAAGACTAAGGGATTGGACAATATATTAGACTACAGCCATATGATGGTCTGGAGTAAAGATAATTAATAAATGTATTGTAGAATAATTCCTTATAAATAATACATAATAAATAGGGCACAGGGGCTCATGCCTGTAATCTGAGCACTTCAGGAGGCTAAGGCAGAAGGGTTGCTGGAGGCCAGGAGTTCAAGACCCGCCTAGGCAACATAGTGAGACAGTCTCCATAAATTTTTTAAACATTAGCTGGGCATGGTGTCACACACCTGTAGTCCCAGTTACTCAGGAGGCTGAGGCAGGAGGATTTTTTGAGCAGAAGAATTCTAAGATGCCTTGAGCTGTGATGGTGCCATTGTACTCCAGCCTGGATGACAAAGCGAGACTGACACAAGAAACAAAACAAAACAAAACAAACAACAACAAAATAATACATATACTATGATATCATTTATAAAAAGATAAACATCTATATTTGCATTGACATGGACGCAGGGAGGGGAACATCACACACCGGGGCCTGTGGGAGGGTGGGGAATTAGGGGAGGGATAGCATTAGGAGAAATACCTAATGTAGATGATGGGCTGATGGGTGCAGCAAAACACTATGGCACACGTATACCTATGTAACAAACCTGCACGTTCTGCACATGTATCCCAGAACTTAAAGTATAATAATAAAAATAAAAATCTTAGTGTAATATTGGACAACAGCAAGAAAAAGAAAAGGACTAAGAAGAAATAGATCAAAATGATTACTTGGTAGTGGGATCACTACCAAGTTTTTAATTTTTAATTTTTTAATTTTCATGGGTACATAGTGGATGTATCTATTTCTGGGGTACACGAGATGCTTTAATACAGGCATGCAATGTGAAATAATCACATCGTGGAGAATGGGGCATCCATGCCCTCAAGCATTTATCCTGTGTGTTACAAACAATCTAGTTACATTCTTAGTTATATTGGTGATTTTTATTCTTGTGCTTTTATAATGAGAAATATACCAACAATCCAATAACCATTTGCAACTCAATGATGTTAGGGCAAGTTATCCTTGCTTAGCTGGGTCAGCTCCTCTTTCCTTCTAGTGCAATGGAGAATACTCCTGGGAGACTCAGTGCATTAATGCTCATACTGTGGATATTGGCAAAAGAGACATGGAGAGAGTTGGTCTAATGTTACATAGGAAGATGTTTATGCTTTTAGGATTTGGCACCTTGAGGTCAGTCCTTTCCATTATGACCTTCAATATTACACCAGTAAAATACTGTCTAATTTGCAAATTAAAGTATTTCTTACAAAACCCTCAGGGATGAATTAGTAAGTGCATCACAACCCTCCTCTACCTCCTTAAGCTTCACCCTCCTCTAGAAAAGATTGTCTTATAAAAGATGGTCGTTTTCTCCCTTTTAGGAAGTCAGGGCTGGTAAGGCATTCCAACGGTTAGGGATTTCAGCAATTTCTATCTTGTTGCTTTGCTCAACACAATGATTCCTCTTCACAGTCCAAGATCCAGCCATCGTAAAACATTCCAGCCAGCAGGAAAGCAAAGAGGAAATGGGGGCGTGCCCCAAGGTCATGGGGCAACACTTCCATTACACCCATTGTCCAGAAGCTGGTCACATGGCCACTGCAAGGCAGCATTCTGGAAGGCTGGGAAATGTAGTCCTTATTCTATATGGCTCAGCTAAAAGTTGGCAGCTTTAATTTTTAAGGAAAAAAGAGAAAATGCCCTGGAGAGCATGCAGCAGCCTCTGCCACAATCATACATGTGGGCATCACAGGGAGACATGAGTCAGAGAAGACAAACCAAGTGTAACAATTTGAATCTCTTTTGCATCCACTCAACCTAGAAAGCATTTCCTGGTGCTCACATTTATTTGAAAACACTCTGCATACTACAGAATTCTGAGATGTGGCCTCTGGGGAAGAAATAAAACAGCTGCAACAAATAAAGCAGATGGGAATTAAGAATGCTGGAGGAGCTCCAAAATACAATCCCATTGTCCACTAAGTGCCCACCCTACAAAGAATGTGTGCTCCAAAATAGAAACTTTATGAAACTTTGAAGCATTTGATTAATGTAAGCCTTCATGAATAATGCAAAGCTGTGTGCCGGGGTTTCATGTGAAGCTGAGAGAGGAGAAAGATTAGCATGCACATCTTGGCTTTAAAAAAATTAAGAAAAATTCGCAAAGGGAACTCAAGCATTTGGGGGCAAGAGGTGTTACTTCTGCAGACATGCTCCCTGTGGTGGTGGAGGGTGGGGGGTGCTCAGCAAACACTGGCTGGCTCACCAGGGAGATTCCCTGCCAGAAGGTAGATACAGTTCACCCTCCTAAGGGCCCCCCAGGTCCAGTCCTGTATGCAGTTGGGTAGGACAGTCAGGGCCAGTCACTCATGTGGCTGCAGGCTGGCCCCCAAAATTCCTCTTTCCCCTGAAAATATCTTTCCCACCTACAGGTGTCTGGAACTAGATCTTCCTCCCTCAGATATTCTTTATATAAATGAATTGTCTTCTGTTGAAATGCAAAGATCTTTCAGAAGGGCTGTGCACAGATATCACTTCAAAATATGACCCTTTCTATTCTGCTTCTAAAATGTATTTTACACATTTTATTAGGAAATATTTAAGACTCACAAAAGGTATAAAGAATTTTTCATGATCATAAGTTAAAAGTGAAAAAGAATATGTATAGTTTAGGAACTATCTGAGTACACATTACCCAGTTTAATATATAAAATACTATCAGTGGAGTTGAGGCCCCTTTGACTTCTTACCCAGTCACATTTCCTTTCCTGCCCCTAGAAGTAGCTGCTATCTTGAATGTAATGTGCATGATTCCCAAGCATGGGATGTTGCAAGAATGTATGATCTGGCCACTCACCCCCATACATCCTGTCCTTCTACTGGTTCAGGCCATTATCATTTTTCACCAAAGCCATATATTCAGCATACATCAAACACTACTCTGGGCCAGGCACCATGACCACTGTCTTCTACTCAGTATCCTTGCCTCCAGTGTTTCTCTCCATCCAATTTACTTTCCACATTGCAGTCACAATATTATATCTCTGCTCAAGAACTTCGTATGGCTCCCTACTGTCTATATGCTAAAGTCCAAGCTCTTTAACACAGCATCCAATCGTATGTGAACACATTACTAGGGCCACTCCCAGAGCCTCGGAAGGGTTAGGGTAAGGATTAAGGTGGGGTTAGGGTTACCACTAATTTCACAGTAAATGGGCTTCTGTACACATTTGCATGGCTGCAATAATACATTCCTG